AACCAAATAATATGATCTTAGCGTGCAAAGCGGCCACCATTTTCGTGTTCAGCATGTTTACTTACTTACTAGAACCCTTTTAAGGCAAATCCATGACTTTGACCCTTTATCACACTTCGTAATCCTACGGAATGGACTTAATGTGCGGAGGTTGTAGTTTCATGACTATGCCAAATTACTGCTCTGAGCAAAGTTTCAGTAACGACATTACCTTGGAGCACTATTACTGAACCAAAAAACCATTTCAATCATTAGCCTTAGGTCCTCTCTTTGCCACCTTACAAAGAGATTCGCTGTTGGAGAAAATACTGTAGAATAACACGTTAGCCCTAGGAAAAAGCACTTACCTTAATCACCATTTTTGAGCTTTTTACACACTCTAGAAATAACAAATCTACTTTTTATTCTTATACAAAATAATTGTGAATAATCACTTATAGCAAGACAAAATGTGTTCACCGTCATATTTACTAGGACTGAATCGTACATATCCAAATTACAAATCAAAGGCTAAGAATGAATAATTTTACATCAAGTTTTAACAGTACGAGCAAAGTATTCCCATAGTTGTGCCTTTATGTACAATTTGTTTTTACCTTCCAAAATTCAATACATTACGATGTTCAAATTTGCGTAACTACGGCAATTTCTGGATATACCTGGGGAAGACTTGCTTGGCTGCTAAATCCAGTTTTGTCCTAATACAAATGTGACTTTAATGCACATCAATCCGTAATGCATTTCATTAACGTTTTTTCAAAAAGAACATGGAAAGCCTAAGTTCCCACTGGGCTATGTATAGCATGATGCTCAATATATTCCATCTTTCAGGCAGTACAAGCCATTCAACGGGCTGTTCACAATGAAAGCGGTTTCAAAGCGTATGATTCCGTGACTGTTGTCAAGTCAGAGTACACGCTGGTTAAGAGAGGTAGTTAGAAGTTTTCAGATTTACCCTTATTGATATGAGCTGCACTCCTTAAGTTCTCAATGGGGATGGAAATGCTCGCAAAATAATTATGACAATTGATCGCTCCTTCCAAAGTGTAGTTGGCAACGATTCGGCGACTATAGCGAACAAATGGTGTGAATCGATGGCGAATATGCTACGAATTTCAATCTACAGATTTAAGAACGCACGAATATACATGGGTATAGTTCGAAAGTCTTAATAATTATCAAGTATCCACAGTTTGCTTGGCTTTCAGGAATCGTTTTCAACTTCACAATAACGCTTCCTTTCGAAGACGAAAAAATCCCGCTTTCAGCCGAAGAAATCTCGTTAATGTTAATGGTTGGCACCGTTATCTTCGTTTTCCTCCGGTTTCTATAAAACTCTCATTACAGGAATGTTCGATATATGGAGAGTTCGACTTGCAATCAAACCAAGGAGAAACCTTACCAGTGGGAAAAATCACCGAAAATAATATCGTGGAATTAATTGTCAATAGACGTGAGTGATATAGTTAGAGAAGAAGAAGAAAAAAAGTGCAATCTTTGCAAAAAGTGCCGTTTTATTATAAAAGAGTATTAAGCTAGATCCTCGTGTCTTGAGAAAGAGATAAATTTAGTGCCAGAAAAATGGTTTACTCTTACTGCACTAAGGTCAGCAATGCAGAGCGCCTCTTTCAGTTTCCGATGGTATTTAGGACCCATATCGTAAAGACTTTGAAGCTGAGAATGGTCTGAGTACTCTTATATAACTTTACTTCTACCGATATAATCTTCATCAAAGTTTCCTTTTATTCACAATTTGTTGTCCAATCAGCTACGCTGAAGAAATAACGAACCAGCTAACTAGGGAGACACATCAAAATACCAATGCTTCCATTTAACGCATTCTTTTCTGGCTCAGCAGAGATGGACGTATGATAACGCAGCAAAAAAAGGATGTAGTGCGCACAAATCCAGAAAAGGCTAGAACTGACAAAAGGAGGCTTGAAGTGAAATCCATGAGCATACATGAGACTCACTCTTTTTCGTTCTCATCGCACTATTCGCTGCGCATTCAACAGGACAGCAATTTGAACAAAGTACTATGTAAAAACTCTGGATTAAGATCCATGATCTTGATTTTTACTTAAAACAAGACATTTTACTTTGTTTAACAACCTTTTTTCTTTCGCGTCTACTTCCCCGACTGCCAAATTCCCAGTGTATGACCCCCTCCTACACGCTAATTCGCGATATAGTGGCACTTGTCTTGCTTATGAGAACGAGCTATGTAGTGCGATTGATGTAACGATAAATACAGTGATCTGCTTAGGAAAAGAAAATACTTCTAAAAAACAATAAGATGTTTGTAAGTTCAAAAAAAAACCCAGTTTTCCTAAATCTTTGTCTGAGCTCTCTATTACCGTATCTACGCATAATTCTAAAATATTCAGAGCTGAGCACTCTGGTACTTGTGCTGGTTATCGTAATTTCAACCGTCCTCGTTTTTACATCGCTTTACGTAGGAGGAGCTGTGGCGGTGAAGCTACGAACAGACAGACTCATGGAGGAGGTGAGTAGGATTCTAATTTTTCTTCATATTTGATTTAAAAATTTTGCTGCAAATTGTTAAATTATGGTGAATAACTGTCTTGCACAAAGGTTTCAAAAACATAAGAAGTTGTGACTTTGTAGTAAATGAAGAAAATGTTCAGAATCAGTATTTTGTTCTATAGAATGAACAATTGAGATACGCGCCTAGTATCTTGTTACGACCGTTCCTGCAGGGAGCCATATAAAATACTGATCAATTCTAGAAAAACCCTTACTTCGTGTTGTGATCCAAATTTCCATGAATTCACTCAAAGCGTCTTTCCTAGGACAAAAACAGTTCTGTCTTAAAAATACGATTAGAGTATTACCATCTTGTTGAAAGTGTTGAAACAATTTAGGTGCTATTTTACAAAGTTTGAATTTTGTTGCAGGCTCACACTATATGACATTTTAATCATAAAATGAATATTTCTTAAACGCCCTAGTGTCAAACCGCTGACTGTTATTGCTGATGAGTGACTGATGTCGCATTGATCCCCAAAACTTGTACTGAAGTGAGAAGAGTGTTATTTGTCACTCCTACAACGAAACATAACCATTTTTAATTGTGGCAAGTTTGAGCACCGTAGCATAGTGCTAAAAATGATTGCTTTTACCTTCAAACACACCTACTAGTGACTTCAAAGTTTTCGCAAAAGTACCTCAAAAGCATAGCTCCTACTAGGTGTTATACCTGACACCAAACTCCTTTTCCTAAATCTCTACAAAATAGAGTTCATGCAGCTGGAAGTAGCTCAATATCACATTTTGGCTGATGAGAATCACTCCTATAACAAACGAACCTGTTCGCATGACAGGTAAACTTGCAACATTTCTTTGGCTCATACCAACGGCGGTTCTCTAACAGCGCAAAAGTGAACTTGAATCCTCTTATGGGAACACTTTTTTCTATTCCGTGCTTATCGTAGACGTAGTATAGCTCAAGCGAACTCTATTTTACAGAT